AAAAAAAAAAAAAAAAAAAAAAGAAGTAACCAGTGTATACAAGGCAAACAGAATACTTCTGAAAGAACTCACTGCCCTGTGATTGGGAAAAAAGACATTCAAACACTGATGCCCCAGTAATGTTGGGGCAGAAGATCACGTGCACTGAGATTTCAAGCTGAAGTTTACCAGAAGTTCTTCTCCATTCTACAAGCAAGTGCTAGCTGAGCACCTATTTTGCAAGTGATGTTTCTCTGTAATTACGCATTGCTGCTGACACACTCCTGTCAGACATAATTGGCTAAATAGGTAACTTCTCCCTACATGCTCTATAAAAACATAGTCATTTTAATGCTATTAAGGGTAAAAACAAAAACTCAGCTATTGCCATTGCAAACCAAAGGCTAATTATTTTTTAGTTATCTCAGGGAGGCTTCCTTCCTAAATTTCCTTCAGAAAGGACTTACAAGCTGTTCCTTTAATATGTATGTGCTCCTTCCAGAAAACCACGTTCACTATCTAAGCCCAGAAAGTTTAGTGAATGCCTGCTTACGGTAAGCCAGGCATAGTGCCTGTCACTCTCACGAACTATTCACTGAATAGAACTCAATTCAAGCTACCTCTGTCCCTCAGAATTTCAAACCAGTATTAACCCAAGACTAAGAAATGGAAACAGTAGATTAGAAAAAGAAACCCAGTAATTAATCATGACTCAAAGGTTAACTAAAATTCAAAACTTTTACGAGTTCAATCTTTGAGACTGACTTTTGAAGAATGATGCTTTTTTCTTTATTGTAGTAATCACTATCAAAGAATTTTAAATCTGATTTAATGAAACAGTTTTAAGTTCTAAGGCCAACAAGTATCTAATTAGTCAGTTAGTGGACAGTCAACTCAACCTTGGGCTGACTGCAAAGGTATGTAGCTCTGTCTTTAATAGAAAGCATGGAATACCTGACTGCCAGAAAGCAACATCTCCACAGTCTGTTGTCCCACAGCCTTATTAAATATTCTTACTGAGAGGAACTTTAACACAGGGGCTAAGGGTACAAACTCAAGTTTTCCACTTAAGGAGGTGGTTAAAAAACTTCACTAGCAAAGACTTTTGTCAAGGAGAATTCTCAGGAGTTGCTCAGTTTGTCTCCTCTAAGGATACATGTGGGCCCAAGAAGAGGAAAGCATTTACCTTTATGGGCCGGAGCAGAGATCGCTATGGGGGCAAATTCTTCCAGAAGGTCAGCAGTAGGGTTAGAAAGCAGAGAGCAATCAATCAGGGAATCTTCCCCGGTGAGAGAATCTGAGTCCAGATTAACAGCATCCCAGGTCGGTGATGGCATTAAATGGCACACATAACAATATCACGAGGTTAGGTCTTAGCCTTTAAGTTATTGCATTTATTGGCTTGGCCAAAAAGTTCGTTCTTCCGTAAGAGCGTACAAAAACCCGAACGAACTTTTTGGCCAACCCAATACATTATACATACAAGCCAAGGCGGGAGAAGGAAAACCCAAAGAAACCCGTTAAGCACCCTGTATTTTCATCTAGAGAAACATGTATTTCTAAACTTCTCTTAACAGATATATATAAATATGGAAGAATTTTTTTGCTCAGAGGTTGCTGGTTAAGCAAGTAAATGGTTTGGATGTCAATAAAACTTTGGCAACTCAGTTCTCAGCAAATGCCATTTAGGAAAAAGGACTTTGCAACTAAAGAATTTCACTTAAACCTCCCCTAAACATTCACTGAAAAAAAGTTGCTATAAGATGAGGTATCCAAGCTGACAAGAAGGGGGTTGTCCCTGGCTTATTATTAGCAGAATATGGCATGATTAGGCAGTACTTTTTCAGAACTCAACCCAATCCCCAGTCAAAATAGAATGATCTTGTCTCTTATTAGTATTCTTTAAATCTGAATTGCTCCTTGGAACACATGATTTTGCTTTTAGTTAAGGAACAGAAGGAAGATTAAATTCAGAGTTCAAGTATTTCAACACATAAATTGTTTTCTGGGAGAGTTTTCTAGGAGAAAACAGCCAAGTAAGCACAAGGAAAAACAACCATATTGTCTTCTGTGTCATTTTTTTTTTTTAACCTGGATGAGTTTATTCTCATATTTCCTAGACTTCTAATTGTTTCTGTTCCAAGTGAGCAAAGTGGACACTTTTATCAAGGTAATTATGGACTCAATAAAAATGAAGGTTATCAAATCTGTATTTAAGGAATTGTAGTTAAGGAATGGATCCAGGGAAGATTTCAACTTTGCCTACAATTTAATAGCAAATCACCTAGATGTGATTAAAGCTCTGTGCTGCGAATAGAATGTTAACATACATAACACGAGCCCCCATGGACATCACTGACACTGTTAGATCCAAAAGACTGCTCAGTACCCAGGAGGAGTTAAGGGCATCCGTACAACTCAGCAGAGTCTTTAATTAAGGAAGTAGAGGGAACCCGCCACCAGTGACAAAAATCTTCAATAAAGACAGACTGAAACCAAAGAAAGCCCAGGTATCACTCTACAAAGAACATGGCTCCAAAAAGGTACTCTACTCTTTACTGAGGAAACACATCACTCAACATCTAAAGCTGGGGCTGTAATGATGCAGAGCATCCATTCCAGGAGGAACTAACAAGGCTGTGAAATAAGACCAGGACCATCTGCCGCAGGTGGAAAGCCTGACTCAGAGGGCTCCCCGAACTGACCAGTTCCTGCAGCCCCAGAGACTCCTGACTGACCTGTGCGGTTTGAGGTCACAGATTCCGTCTGAGAGGGGAGGCGCTGGGCCGCCGGGGGCTCCAGTCCTGGTATCAGACTCTCAACAGCAACATCAGCTTTTTCTTTTGTTACAGAGCATTAAGAGAGGAGAGGAAAGGGTAAGGGAAAGGTAATCAGAAGGTTCCTTGGATGATTCTGTGAAGGCTTTCTTCTGCATGTCTCTAAAATGCCCATCTCAGGTAAGATGGAAAGCACAGTAAGTTGCTTTCTTTCTGGTGCTTCGAGTGTCTGGGCTTCACTGACAGAGCAGACACGTGCAAGGTGAACCACGGTGGCTAGTCTCGGTGATTCTCAGTTTTTACAGATAAATGCTGAATGAGAGCTATTCAAGTAGACCTCTTACATGTCAGAAGACATAGGCTCAAAGGCACCTTAATGTCTTCTGGTAATTGTGCTTTTCTTAAGGGATAAACTTGGGGCCAAACATGCTCTGTGCCTTGCAAAGGCCACTAGTCCACCTCAAATCCCATGCCATGCTGTAGCTGGAGGTACTCTTTACCATGTGACATGCCCCAGCTGGAGGAACATCTGTCTGAAGGGTCATGGCATTTCTGAGTTCTAGGACTTTGTGCTCCTGTAGTACAGAGGCCCCAGACATTTTATAGGTCTTGCCTGCCTTGCGGCTGGAGCACAAGAAAATGTAAAAGCAAGCAGATCAAGCCCCTGCCCTGGATTCTACTCATAGGGCCTCAACATGGGGCAAATGTTTTCTCAGTTACTGACACTTGGCACATACAGAGGCCTTCTAAAGAAGAATCTGCTAAAGGTGAAGTCCACCTGGAAACCAACTTTTTTCATGAAGCTTTTGTAACGAAATGTGAATTTTTCCACATTCCCCCTAGTTCACAAGAAATTCACTCTAGAAATCTCAGTGTTTCAAGAATAAATAACGGTGCTGTGCTGCTGAAAGGCAGAGATAACTCTTCGTTTGGGGCGATAACAAGGGAGATTAAACAGCCCTGGCTTCTGGGTTAGCACAAGGCATCACTCCAACACCAGGAGGCTTCGTGACATTTCCGCTCCTCAGCAGGTCTACTCAGGAGGGATCTGTTAACCAGTTAGTTGCCATTTTTGAAACAGACACACATATCATGCATGACTGAAGAAACAGAGATGATGACTTTACCAATTACAGCATCAGAAGTGCTACCAAAAGGATCTGTCATAGGCAAGAGGTCAGGGAGCAGAAGAGAAGTGTCAGGAGATTTGAGTCCCTCGATTAGTTTTTCTAGGTTGGGCAGAGAAGTAAAGAGAAAGCAAAAATGCAATGAGATATTCAAGTAAGCCGATCATTTACCATTTTCTATACAAACACATTTTAGGGGTCAAAATTTTACATAGATTCAGCATGAAAACAAATACTGCTAGTATCTTGTTAAAAATAGGCCCTCAAAGTTTAAAAATGATTATTTCCAAATGAAGTAGTCGCTTTGTAAGGCATTCAAGATGCTGCCCTAAGTTTGTTTTTAAATTTGTGGTATAATTTACACTGAATAAAAGCCACCAATTTTAAGTGTACAATTTGATGTATTTTGACAAATGTACACATAAGCACCACGTAAATAATGAGGCAGAACATTTCCATCACCCCAAAAAGGACCCTTGTGCCCCTCTCTGGTCAATGCCTTCCTCTTACCCCTAGACGCTGGCAGCAACTGATCTGCTTTCTGTCCTTATAGCTTTGCTTTTTCTACCATTTCCTACATAGTATGTAGTCTTTTCTGATGTCCTTCATTTAGCATAACGTTCCTGAGATTCCTCAATGTTGTGGCATACATCAGTAGTTTGTTTTATTGCTGAGTAGTGTTTCACTGTATGAATGGACCACATTTTGTTGACTCATTCATCAGCTGACGGATATTTGGTTATTTCCAGGTTTTAGCTATTAAAAATAAAGCTTCCATAAACATATGCATATAAGTCTTTGTGTATTCATATCTCTTCCTGGGCTTAGTTTTGAATCTCTCTCTCTCTCTCTCTCTTTTTTTTTTTTTGTCTTGCATTTAGAAATGGTTTATGACTCACCAAGAGAAGCAATGAAACCACACCTAAGTTAACTTTAACAATCATTTATCGTCTGCTTGTGACACCCCTGGTATACTCTTATTATTAAACGGTCAAATCTCATAAAATTCACTTAAGCCTGCAGATGGATTACTTTTGATGTCTTTTGGCTAAAAAAACAAAAGGACATGAGAAGCCACCAGATCTGTCACACCTGATAACTTAACGTGTGATAACATGGACACATTAAGGATCCTTCCAAGACAACTCGTTAGCCTGATACATCAACAACTCTCTACCTGTAACTTATTAAAAGTAGAGCATTAAAATAAAGTTTCTCAAGCAATTAAAAAAAAAAAGCAGAGCATTAACTTGACACAAAATAATGAATCACAGACTCTTACAGAAAGAAGGGAATTTAGAGCTCATACTTCCTTTTACTTACAAAGAGACTGAGACCACATAAATTCTATAATTTGTCCAGTTAAAGGCCTGTCAACAATGTTTTTTCTATCACAAAAATAAACTGCCTTTAAGATAAAGCTAGAATTAAAATGTCTGAGAAAAAGAAATGCAAAGCTCAAGTATGTGTGTATAACATTTTAATGAACATTTTAATGAAGGCTATCAGGAATCCAGATAAGCAAAGATGAAATTGATATTCACTGAGGGATAGAAACCAAATTTTAGGTGATCTGTAATCTAGGTGATCTATAACTACACAGATGAAACAAAATAATGGATTTTAGCGTCCTGGCAAGATAATTTGCTTTGGTCCAATTAACATACTGCAGAAAAAGCCATTTTCATACATGAAACCAATTTACCATCTTTGAAATGTATAACATGCGGCTATCTTTGAATTAAATACCAATATGCTACATATCTCATTTATACCTAATTTATATTGAAGGAAGGAAGGAAGGAAGAAAGCAGCCTCTCATCAGCAGGGAAAAAAACCCAGGGTTCTAACCAAGTATACAAGTGTAATAACATCAGCACTAATCTTGAACTGTACATGACATTATAAGAAAAGATGCTTAAAATATCTTGGACAATTTTCAGCATACTGGCAAAAGTAAGATGGTTTCCCCCAAAAGTCTGATTTTTCATTATCTTGAACACTAGCTTTTGTTTTATTCCCCCCACCCCGAAAGGTTCTCTCACTTAAAAAGAAAAAAAATGATTTTCTATCACTTTTAGCACTCAGATATTTGCAATCTTGTGAAGCACTGGATAAAAAGTAAAGGCCCCAACATTACTTGTTTTTCATACAGCAGTTTGTCTTGGCTTCTCCAGTGACTGGGTGTGACCCTGGGGCAGTTCCTGAAACAGATCTCCTTATCTGTAAAATACAGACACCTCCCCCTAACCTTTTTGTATTAGTCACGCAAATACCATCTCTAAGCCTTTCTCCACCCTCTCTGCCACATTAGGAACTTTCTGGAACACTCTGCTTTCGCTTCTCCTGCAGCCCTGAAGCCAGGGAAGGTGTCTTCTTAATTTCTGTGTCCCCAGTTCCCGGTTCCTTCTCGTCCTCTGTCAAATCTCTGCCTTTTGGCTTTATTGGGGAGGTGGGGAGAACAGGGGATCAATGGCAAAAAAGCAGGTCCTTCAACAAGAATCTTATTTTTAAAATTAGCCATTAGCAAAAAGCATGAGGGTAAAAGGGTACGTGTGTGCATGCGTGCGTACCTGTGTTGTATCGTAAGATGGAATGGGGTGGGGCTGGGGTAAACTGCCACATTCTTTTCCGACCAAAACTCGAAGTAACAGGCTATTCACACAGATAATCTGGGTGGTCACTGCTGCTTAGGAATATTCAAATCTTAGAACTGTGGGAGGGAGGAGCAGGGGTCAGAGTAACATCAGGCAGAAAAACAGGAGTGAGAGTCCGGGGCCGCTGCACAAGTCACGTCGGCAGCCTGTGCAAAAATGGCTTCTTTCACTCCTGGGGCTCTTGCGGCTGTCGGTTACTCAGTACTGACCCCCAGGTGCTATTATAACAGTGGTTGTCACTTGCATTTGTAGAGTTCAATGTCAAACATTTTCATTCATTATTCACAAAAAAACCTGGGTTTCGGAATACTGATACAGTTGAGAGTGGACATCAGAAGACGTGAGAATGCATGACTTGCCCAAAGTCACAGATGGGACATGGTAGAGCCTGGACTTGACTTCAACGTTTCCTCCACATGCTGCCTACAGGGTGTGCTTAGCTCCATAACCAGAGGAGAAAGTGTTTTCACACAAACATGGTCCCATGCACAATGGTCAAGTTATAAAAGATATGTTACCACTGGAAAGAACTTTAGATCTTATCCAATTAGCCTTCTCATTTGCAGATGAGGAAACAGCTCCAGAGAGGGGAAGTAACTTGCCTAATATCTTACAGCAAGTAAGCCACAGAGCTAGCTAGGACTAGGACCCAGAGCTTTATGTATGGAGATTCAATCTCCTGGTTTAACTAAGCCTTTGATTGCTTTAAAGTGTACAGACTCTTAGAAGATAAATTTTAAGCTATTACTGGTCATTTTTGGTCACTGTAAATGAAGAATGTGAGGACAGATTGTAATGGGAGGGAAAGATTGTAATGGGAGGTACAGGAGGCTGACAGTCTCTAAATCACAGTCTGGAGGCCTCCCAGGTGCATCAAGGTCTGGGTTTGATATCCTTCCTTTTATGAATTCTGGCCTCTCTGTCACATTTTTATAAAAACTCTCTGAGGCCATGTATCATGATGCCGGGGTGGGAAAGAGCAGAGAAGAGGCGGTGAATTTAGGAAACTATGCAGGAAGTGTTCGTTACGATCCCAAACCTTGATCAAGTTCTACACGTATGATGAGACTTGTTGCTACATAATGAACAAAGATTTTTAAAATTTTACTTGAATCATGGGAAATGGCTTCTCTGGATGCAAAAACAAAACATATCTTCTAGGACAGTTCATACCTGAAATGTACAAAGACACACACTAATTCTCAATTATACAGAGTGACAGATGAACGAAAACCAGAAATAATTCATAAATTGTATTTTGCAATGATTTAATCCTCCTGAGAAACATTTAATCTTTTATTGTCATGCTATACATTTTCATTTGGGGTCTGCAAAATCCTCCCAAATGAATAAGCAACATGAAAGAGTCAAAGGGCCTGAGTTTAACTTAGTTAAGTTACCTAACTTTTCTAAGCATCAGTTTCTCACCTGTAAACAGAGGATAGGAACTACTTTAAAGGGCTTTTAGGATTAAATGGGCATATTTATCAGAATTAATGTGTGTACATGTGCATATAAATTGAAGTTCTTAGCCCTTAAAAGAGGATTAACATCTCCTTTAAGTAAGAGGACTAGATAGGTCAGCCGGCCACAGATGCTTGAGACTACGGTAGTGAAGGCAGGTGAAGTTCTAGATTTTACTCAGATGCCTTGGTATGAGAACAGAATAAGCAAAATTCCTTGAATAAAGTGAAGTGGGAGGTGGAGGCAGTGTGGTCTAGTAGAGGAAGAAAAGGTACTGAAAGCCAGGGAACCTGGGTTCTGCACTAAGTCTATGTGGCACTTTGGGCAAATCACTGTTTCTCTCTGGATCTAAGTTTTCTTATTGATAAAATGAAGATAAATGTAAAGGTGCTGTCCACCTCTAAAAGTTCAATCAGCCAGTGTGAGGGGAAAAACAGGAAGTACGAACTGGCGGCTTAGAAGATGGACTGCTCAGTGATGACACTGGAACTCTGAACTGGTACTAATGGCAGTGAAGAACACCTGGAGGGCTCCTCAGTGACATGGGCAGGAGCTAAAATGTGTGGCCTCAAGGTGACAGGTTTTGGGAAACGCAGAGAGCTGTTCAACGTGCAAACTCAGCCCAGACATGAGTGGCCAGGAGAACAGGGTGACGAGGTGGGGGAATATCGAAGCTTGCCCCTCATTTGAGAAAAAAACTGCAATTGTTTTCTACCTTAGTGTAAAAATAATACATGTTTATTGTATAAAATCTGGGAAATACAGATAAGCTAAAGGATAAAAGTAGGAAGAGCTTCAAGATGGCGGAAGAGTAAGCCGCGGAGATCACCTTCCTCCCCACAAATACATCAGAAATACATCTACACGTGGAACAACTACAGAACACCCACTGAACGCTGGCAGAAGACCTCAGACCTCCCAAAAGGCAAGAAACTCCCCCACGTACCTGGGTAGGGCAAAAGAAAAAAGAATAAACAGAGA